CCCCCCCCGCCCCGCGTTTTGGGGCTGTAAGGGAGAAAGGAAGAGGGTTTTCACCCTCTCCGCCTACGGAAACCATATCCAACACGCCCCCCAAGGTCGGCGGATAATTAGTGGTAAAATGACTACCCTAATCACGGGTTTGTTTTCCATGGCTTAGGGATCCAAACTAAGGGTGGTGCAAAGGACAACTTCCTCAACAACCCGAAACTAAGGGATTGCAATCGTACCGCTCCCAAAGGTACACAAACCCAGGGTTTAAGGAGCTAATAGCTAATAAGGACTATATAGGGCTTAATAAGGCCTAGAAGGGTTCTAAATCTGGGGGGGTAACTTTGGGGGGGAGTACTATAGTAATTAATCCCTTATAAGGCCTACAGAAAGGGACGCTGTGGACACCTGTTTGTTTAACCATTTAGGAGTGGTTTGGGGTTATTCTACTTAAAATAGTTAATTTTCTTCCGACCCTAAACCCTAAGGGTGCAAAGGAAAACTTCCTGAACGACCTTTGGTACATCTGCTGGCGGGCTGAGCCTTCCGATAGGGGACCTCTTCCGCCAAGGCTGCTGCTCCGCATACCTCAAGCCTTACTACAAGTGATTGGGATATATGAACAACAGTCTGAACTCCTTAGAGAAGGGTGTATAAGGGATTGTATAGGGGAGTATTATGGGGGTTTAAGGGGGGTGCTCGGAGTTTAGGCTATGGCTCATACAGGGGTATTTAAGGGTATACAGGGAGATGTAAGGTTATGTGCCCCTTTACCTGAGGTTGAGTATTGAATTATGGTTCCTGGGAAGTTGGTACAAGTTACGTGCAGCTTCCTTGCAAAGTAGCGGGTGCCTCCATATAGGTTTTTTTGGGCGGGACTTCCCCCTTATCTCTTCACGGACGTTAATCTGCCAAATTGGGTAACTGAGCATTCCCTCCATTTCAAATTCTATACACACCTCCATCCCTAACATCTAATCTTCCGCATAAATGACCTTCAGTATTGGGAGGTACATCATAATACTAGTAGGCAGGGATTATGTGGCATTTTCTCCTATCATCCTTCGCGAAATATTTGCGCTGCCTATATACTATAGGGGCATAATGATTACTAACTATAGGCATAAACGGGGGTTTAGGGTTTCGGGGTATGACTTCAACAATGGAAAATCCAATGGAAAGGAACATGGAAAATTAAATGGAGGTGGGTGTGTGTAGGGGACTATAGAGATAATTATCAATACTGTGGTTCTAAAGAATCCTGGTATCATTATGGTATAGGCTAGCCCAACGTCATCTCAAAATGATGCTGTCAACTATTTTTGCCCCTGTATTTGCACTTCCAAAGGCCGCCTTCACCTACTACGGGTCCTCTAGCACGCTGGATGCTGGGCATTCCTTGTGAGATTGGGGTTTCCCGAACTTAGGGGTACCTTTTTCGGGGTCCCGGTAATACGGATGATAGTATTTTTGTATCTATGTTGGGGTCCCCTTGTTTCGGGAAACTACCAGATGCTTTTGTCGTCAGTCCCTAGCCCGAAACCCCTGATGGTGAAGCTGCTTTCCCTAAAAGCGGTGCTGTCCTGCTAAATTCGGATCCCTGTACATCCCGCTTAACCTTGACCATATGAGCTATAGTCTAAACTCCTAGTTTCCCCCTTACTGAGCCCTATAATCGGAACCCTATACAGTGCCCTATGTAACCCCCTTGAAGGAGTTTAGACTACAGCTCATAGGTGCTTTTCACATGCTTCCATGGCCGGCTAAGGATGGCACAAAGGGGTTGGTGCAGGATGCTTCGCTACTTGTTCAGATGCAGGTCTCTTGCAACAACATAGCAGTCTCCAATGTTTAATTAAGGGATTTAAAGACCATCCCCCCCAAGGGTACCTTTTGCAGGGTGTAACGAGCTAATAAGGATTTGAGGCCTAAAAGGGTTTCAAATCAGGGGAGAGTATCGGGGATTGTCTTGTAACCCCTTGATGTTTGCATGTCTAACGATACCCTGAAAAACCTAAGAGACGGGGCGGATGGGCGCACAAGACCACACCCATGACAGGATCTTCACTTCTTTATGATGTAAACCCCTGTATAAAAAAGCCTTCCCTTTAGTAGGGAATATGACAGGGATCCTAACCTTAAGGCTCTAAAAAGGAGAGGGTTTATTAATCATGGATCTACATTGATATTTCTTAAAAGTCTTGAAGGTCTCACTCCCTGGAACGTGGCATTTGGAGTGCGGAAGCCTGAGCATCCTGAGTCCTAAGCCCGAATCTTGTCGGGGGGTCCAAGCCATGAAGCCCTATAGACTGTAGCCCCCCTGAAGTAGATAGAATATGGCTTTGGGTATATTATACTAAGATCCCCATATACTCCATATCCCGTCTACTTAAGGGGGCTATAAGCCCTAAACCCTATGAAGTGCAGGTCTGATGCAGCGATGAGATTGGATGTGGCGAGTGTTGCAGCTGCCTCCGGACAGGCACCAGTGCTTGAGATGCTTCAGGAGGACTTTCAAACAATCTGGGCAAATAACCTCTAGTATCAAATACTCCGCATTGTGGTATATCATAAATTTTTGGGAGTATTTAACATTAGGGGGTGGGGGTTTAATATTAGGGGAGGGATTACCCACAGAGTGGTCTCCGTATTTCAGAGAAGGGTTTAGGGCTTCAGGCTTGGAATTTCACAAGCAATGGCACCAAGTGCTGCACCCTAAGCCCTGAACCCCACACCCTAAACCCTAAAACCATTCACACGAAATCCTGACCATGAAATTCGCTACAGTGCTGAACCCAAACATCATGCGAGTCCGAAACCCCACGACCTGGAGCTTTGAACCCATTCAAGCTCTACTCCAACGAAATCCTAATCTCAGGGACAGTTTCAGGTGGGTA